TGGAGTGGGGAATTTCTCATACTGGTTGGCCAATTTCCATTTGCTATGCTGACTTTTGAGTAGTGCAGCAAAGGAAGTCTTTCGGGAGATATTTCGAGATATTTCCCGACTCTTGACCTTCCGGGTGGGGGAAGAGCTTCGAACTAAGGAATAGACAGGAAAAATAGGCTTGCCTCGAGGTGCTCCCAGTAGCTGCCATATCTCCCCAGAGGTATTACTGGTCAGATACTGCCATGGCTTCTTCCCACTGCTGTCCCGGACATTCACCCGAGAAGCCAACCTTTGCACTAGCAATTTCATGACTCCTTGGTGGCCGTGAATGGCTGCAAGGTGCAGAGGGGTATAGCCACAACTGGACTTCACATTTACATCAAGAGCAATTCCTGCTTTCTGGGCCCCTGAGACCAAGTCCTGAAGTGCCCTGAGGTCACCATGTTTGGCTATCCAGTGCAAAGCCGTATATCCAGTTAAGAAGTCCTTGTGCAAAGCCAGTTGGGGATCCTCCCAGAACAAAGTTAACACCTGGATCCAAGAGCCAGTGGCAAGCTTCACAATCCATTCATGTTCCCTGGCATCTAGGGGGACGAGGGATGGCTTGTGCTCAGAGGGTCTGTGGGGAACCAAGGCTGTAGGCTCCTCTCTACTTGGGGCCCACAAGCTGTGCAGGCGACTTCTCTCAGCAAGAGCAGCTTTAATGTCAGCAGGTTTTGGTGTCAAAGCAGCATCCACCCTGGGGCTGGACATCGCTCCTGCCTTGGAGGGTTTCCTGGATCGCGGTGGGCGCCTACTCCTTTTCAGCAAGTCCTCCGCAAGGCACTCCTCATCAGAGGAGGACAATTTGGTTCTCTCTGCCCGAGAGCCCCTCCTGAGGGACCTCCTAAATTTGGGAGCTGGCCAAGGCAAAGGCTCCTGGGGGTGGCCTACAAGGCCATTAGCCCTTGTTGGGACCTGCTGAAAGGTGTGACCATCTCTTCTGTTCCTGAGGCCCTGAGGGCTCCTGCTGGAGTTGACCTCCTTTAGAGAAAGGTCCCCAGCTGGATTCCTGAGCTTTCTCCAATCTGGGGTTCCCAGGGCAACGTGCAGCCCTTCTTCAGAACCCCCAGGGGACTCTTTGGGCCCACTGCTGCTTTCCTCACTGCCGTGGCTCTCTTGGTCCACAAAGTCATCCAGATCTTGAAGGGACAGCTGACAGCGAATGCTACGAAAGACTGTCAATGGAGAGTCCCCAGGCCAGGATTCAGAAACAGGAAAATGAGAATGAGAGGGAAGAGTGGGGTCTACCGTCGCTGAGTTAGGGTCCAGGCCCCAGAAGCCCAGCTCCGAGGGGAAGTTGTCTGGCAGCACCGACCAGGCTCTGATGGGGCCCTGGTCCTGGGGGATATGAGGGTGTCTGGCCACCCATTCTTGAGTGCGCTGATGCTGCTGCTGCAGGGTCGAATAATGCAGATCTCCCGGAGTCAAAAGCTCCGGCGGATCTTCAGCGGAAGGGCGGGACTGGACGGCAGGCGGGGAACCCTGGCTCCCAGTAGCACCGACGGTTGGAGAAGGCGAGAGGGGCGCTGCCAGCTCCCGCGAGGGCTCAGCGGGCGCGCCTTCCAGCTCCTGCCTGGGAGCCCCGCGGTCATCCAGGGCAGCGGAAGCCTGCGCGGGCTCCTCCCCAGCGGTGGCGCGGTCGGGAAGTGCCCCCAGGCCGTTCTGGAGACATTCCCAGCAGCAACGGCCCTGCGCCTTCGCCGCCGCACACCTCGCTCCGACCTGGGCAGCTGCCGCTGCAGCCGCGGGCACCAGAGCCCTGTGGCTGGAGCTGCCTCTTCTCCCGCCGCCTCCCAGGGCCGCCTCCTGGGCGCCAGTGGCGGGGAGTCCATTGCAACCTGCGTCGGCTGCTGGGGCTGCGGCACCTGCTGGCTCCTCCTCCCGCTCCTTCTCGCGCCGCCGCCTCCTGGGCTGCTGCGGCGGCGGCGGTGGCTCCCCACCGCGCGCGCCCGGCGGGGAGCGGGGCGCAGCTCTCCCTGCAGGGGCGGCGGCCACCGGCGGGTCGCGGGGGCGCTGCAGCCCCTCCTCCCCCAAAAGGTCCCTGTACCTCCTCTTGAGTACCACGAACTTGGTGCCGTCGGGGTCCTGGCGCACTGCGGCGACCGAATTGACAAAGCCCTTGAAGAGCTCGCGGCGGCGCTGGTGCTGGCCGGGGGACGCGTCCGGGTCTCGGAGAAAGCTCTTGAAGTGGCTCAGCAAGGCGGCATTGGTCACTCGGCCCCCAGCCTGGCACAGAAAGTCCAGTAGTGCCTCCTGGCTCAACTCCCGGGCCATCGCTGCCTTGTCGTCACCTGGCCGCGCGGTTTCTGTGTCTCGCCCTCTTGTGCTCTCCCCCGCCAGCCGAAACCTTGGCCTGCTGTGTGTCACCTGCGCCCGGGGCGGCGCCGCCCGCCTCCATCAGCCGCG